CTAACCATTACTTAAGTAACTTAAGGATTCATTACAAACATACTAACACGTTTGTTATTTACATAATTTATATTTATAGGCCTGTTTGTACCGGAGGTACAGCTAAACCCGGCAACTGCGGTCGTCTGCCTGTCACTACCAAGTCCTGATTGTATCGCGAAATCCAATTTCGTGGTTTTGTTATCGACCTCAACGGAAATTTAGTTCATTTTTCTTATAATCAGCCATGCAATATCGCTGATGTTAGGATACCTAGACTTAAAGATTTATAGTTTTATTAAGACTATAAGGCTTTGAAGGTGCATTAGAAGGCTTTATGGCAGTTTGTAAGTTCTATTAAACTATTATTTGAAAATATTACGTAGAGTTTAGCAATAAGGTTTGAAAAATGAACGTTATGTCAACGACATGCTAGCCCTCGCTTTCCACCAGTGATAAATGAAACGACGTAATGCAACCTATATCTAAATCTGACTAATGAATAAATATATGAAGTAACCACAGATACCAAAATATTTGTAATACGTTTCGTGTTCCTTAATGGAATATATTCCAATATGAAAAGAACAGAATTGATATATAAACGCTACGCAAATGGATTCAGAAAAACCGTATGGCACTACAATTTTTTGAAATTTTAAAAAATAAACTTGAAAAAGATAATCAAGTTTTTAGTTTATAACTGGTAGTTTTTAGCCTAAAATAAGTTGTTAATATTGACAAATTATTAATATTTGTATAATAATTTTGCACCACTTCAAACTAAATTCCACCTGTGTCCTTACAAACGTAAGCGTTTACGTTAAACATAACGTAAGCACAAAGGCATTACATATTTAACCCCCAGACGCGACGTTATTCGTTCTCAGTTGACAAAGCGAAGCTATTCTTGTATGTATTACTTTGACTATAGAGAAATGGAATAGGCAAGAAGCCGCACTTGTCTATACAATAAGTAAAGTTCGAGTGCCTGTCATGGGAATATTAATAAACAAAAATTCGTATTTCACGAACGACCAATTTTTAAAATATTTGACTATTTGTCTGTCCGCATATCCGCTTTTATTCCGGTTTATCTTCGAAAAGGCTGGACTTTTACTGGAAGGTACTTGATATATACAGAAATTACCTAGGCTACGTTTGTAATTGCACGCTGACGAAGTCGGCGTCGACCACTAATCGTATACAAATAGTGTCAGTATTCCCAAGGGGTGAGATAAAGACAAGAAACAATAAAGAAGACAGTCCCACGTGAAATTAATACATCTTTATGTAAAAAATTTACACACACGAAACGAGCAAACTAAGAGCATATTATCTGTTTGACTTGTCCTGTCTCTTAAAAGTTAAAGACTTATTATAATGGGTTACTTTGTCGCTTTACTTGCCACAGTAATCGACGTCTTTTATATACTCAATAGTACCGCGGAACTCTCGCTTGCCAGCCAACTGGGAATTTGTTTAATGACATAATGGCTGCCGAAACATTTGTTTCTTTAAGATATGAAAGTACTAGTTCGTCGCCCACGGTCTCGTCTGCGCGGAATTGCAAAAAAAAACTTAATAAGTAGCCTATGTGTTCATCCAGACTATGTATTACATGTGCCAAATTTCATCAAAATCGCTTTAGCCATTCCGGTAATACCTTGAAACAAACATCGATCCATCTAATCTTTCGCATTAATAATATTAGTAAGAAATAAGATTGTGAGTATGATATGTATATACGTAAATTATTTACTTTTGGATATATCCTTGAAGTATATATACACTTTCACTAGTCATAGAACATCCAAGCATCATTAACTTGAATCAAAATTAACTGTCTCTACACATTTATGTCGTGATAAAGAAATAATTATCCATACTAATGAGTACACAACGACAGATAAAAAACTTAGCAAATAAGTATGAATAATACAAGCAATAAAAAGCGTATCCCAAGGAATAATGTAAGATATAAGCAAATTAAAAATATTACTTACCATGAAATCAGTTGGTGTAAACGGGATTACAAAAGATGTAACCACAAGCCACCAAGTGTCACAGCCAGCAAACACCATTGTCGAAACCGCAACACGTGTCATACCCTTGAATGAGACGTTATTAAAGCTCGCCACACACCTTTAGTTTTAGCTGTATAATCGAATTGTACAGATAAAAATAAATAAAGTAAATAGTGCACCACCGGCAGCGGAATCTTACGACTCAAGTAACCAATGCTTACAGATTCAGAGAAAGCAGCCTCGTGACAATAAGCGTGGTTTCTAAAATAACTGTCAATTAATTTAATTCAACTGTTTAATAAGAGCTTCTTTAGGCTAACTAATATAATAAGTTTGTGTTATGACTGTAGATTGAATACTAATTATATTAGAAAATTAAATTATGACTTTTCAAAGTATTTATAAAAATAAAATCCTTTATGTATTTTGATTGCACTTACGTGACCCGAAAATATTCTTCGCCCATATTATGGTAGCTTCAAAAATACGAGCAAAAACTTAACAGTCACTATCAAAAAGTTTATAACCACAAAAGTATATTATGGGAGTCACAGTCGGAGTATACTTTTTTTTGAAATAGTCTTCTTTAACTTTTTAGGATCGTAAACAACTTTTTCAAAAAAACTGCTCTTACATTTTCCTCACGATTACTCGAATTCCAAAAACATGGCCGTCATTCAGACAAGCAATTACAATACTTTTAATATACGATTACGATATACTGTCAGATTATTAAAATAATAAGTTTAATACTTCATTTTATATTTAAGAATCAAATATTTAAATAATCCGTTGGATCGTAATACTAATGATTAATGTTGTTATTATAAAATAAACAAAAGTGTTATTGACTTATAGCATAGACTAAATAACTTTTTAGGTTACGGAATTACAGAATATTTAAAATGACTAATCATTTAAAACACAGACTGTCAGGGATATGTAAAGTAATATTTTAAATGGAACATAGTCAAAACACCATCTACATTTGAATTTAGATATTCTTGTAAGTTATTTGTAAAGTTTTAGTAAAGTTACAGTCATAAATACACCAGAAGTAAAAATATCCATTTTCTTTCCAGTCAACAACGTCACGACGTCGTTATAGAATAACAAAGTACAGAGGTGCATTCTACAAAAAACATTACAATATTGCCAAAAAAATTAAATTTGAGATATAATCACTAACTTTTATGGACTGGCTAAAAGACTATTATTTTGTGCCTATTTGATTTTCAATGTTTTGGCGCTAATGGTAGCGGTTTGTAGCGGTGGTGTGGATTCGAACTAATAATATAGGTAGAATTAACTGTCAAGTAACATCAACAGGTGCGTTTATCGGAACGAAGCAAAAGCTGTCATTTTCAAGCAATCACCCATCCATTTACAAAGGAAAGTCGACAGAAATCATTGAAATTATCTGAATTTTTTTTATTTATTTGACTAATTATTTCATGTTTTAGTTACGTTTTATTGTCAGGATTTTTTTCTTTATTTATTTTGCATTATCGTATTTCTATTTTATTCTTAGCAATTGTCTTATGAAATATTTAATCTGTAACTTATCGGGTAGTTAGAAAATTTGATTGGAAGAAAGTTATTTGTGAGGCAATACGAATTAGTGTTATAGTTTGACGTTTATTAATTTAAAGTGCGGAAAGTAATTATTAAAAAGTGATTTCATATAAAAGACAAGCAGACATGCATCACGGTATTCGCCCATGGAGCTCAGCTTACAATTTATGGAGATATTTGAAGAATACGAATAAGGTTAGTAATACATGATAGAATCTAACTAGTGAAATTCACACGTCATATCATATTACATTTCTGAAAATTGTAGAAATACGTAATTTTGAAATTAACATGATTTAAATAAATATAATAATTTAAGAAATCGTTGTCCAATATACAATTATTTACGAATCACTGCCATCAAACGTATCTGAAGAATTAACATTAACTATTTTCTCTATATGTCGGTAATCAGTACTCGGAATATCCCTTAAATGGTTTTTACGCGTATCGTTTTCCTATTAACGCATGCCGGGACCGATATCACGGCGTAGTGCAAAAGGATAAAAAGGGAAATAAAGTAACTCGTATGGCGGGTCGGTTGCAAGATGCAGAAATCTGTGCGGGCCGTGGGCGTGGGTGAACCGGTCTAGACGAGATGAACTTTAAGGATCCGACAAAATAAAATAAAGCTCGCCACATCGCGACAGCCGCCCGCGGACCGGCCGTAATGGCCGATTCTTCGCGAGGCGTCGCGTCGCGCGTCGGTCACCGCGCCCGCCTAGCAACGCGGCCCTTGCGCACGATCTCTTCTCGATTTAAGACGCACCCTAAATAATACATTAATATATACGACACAATGCAAGCAGGTACTGCGAGAATATACGATCGCGCCGCTTTGTCCCCGCCGCACAATGAACTTCCTCCATAGATATAACTACTGTGAACTCCCGGGTGAGAACCACTAATTTACCTCGAGTGGACACAATTGAAAGAAAACACGAGAGAGGCCGTCGCGCCGGATTAGATTAGCGAAGATAAGATTAGCGCCGATGCGATGCGAGCGCCCCGCCACCAGCCACCGCCGCCGCCGTCGCCGCAGTCTGCCACCAGAACCTGCTAATTGCCAACACCACCTACGCCCTACGTCTGGCCGGCAAGCGAGTTATCTGCACGGTGCTCCACGCTCTCTACGAGCGTCAAGAGAGGATAATGTTTTCATAATAAAAGTTGTAATTACGACCGTCGCCAAATAAAACGCCTACGCGTCGGACGGCATGTGCTCTTGTAGCGGCGAACCCTCTGGACCTAAGTAAGCATTGTACGATGCGGACCTAGGTCCCGCGGGCCGGACTCGGGCGGGGCTGCACCCTAATGCAATGATTCATATTATTCGGTTTGCGGGCGAGTTGAACGTCTTCCATTATTGTCATTCATCGGAGGAAGTGGGCGGTGAGGGGCGGCGCGGGCACCGTCGGCCCCCGCGCGCGCGGCGATCCTCAGTCGCTCGCCGACACTCTCGCCGTCCGTACGCGAGAGCCGTGATGCAACTCGGCTCCGCTTAACGCATTAGTTCGCGATCCGTGTGTGTGTGCTCCGCGAGTAGCGAGACCGCAGCCCGAGTCAGAGCCGCGTGCAGTGCATCGTCACCAGTGCGGAGGATTCTGCGAAAGCCGTCAGCTCGGCGAGTATACGACAACCACGGCAACGGCCCAGCTGATTGCACCGTGCTGCCAGCCGCCAGCGAGCGCACGGTGAGTGCGGTCGGTCGCGGTTCGCGGTGCACGCACTTGCATCGCATCGCCGCTGCGTGTCTATTTCGAGTTGCTCGCGAATTTCCCGAGCGTCCGTCGTCGGCGACGCTGGCTCGCTTACGGCCGAGGGGCTTCGTCCATTTTTCAAGTGTCACGAGGCATCCGATGAGCGTGTTGATAAACAGTGTCGGCTTACGGCTGCGGGTACGCGGGCCGTCGGTGACAAATAGTTTCATGTTATGCATTGGAAATTGCGTCGGAGAATGAACGTGAATTTTACAATCAAAACACACCCGTTTAGTATCATGTGGACACAATTGGCAATTGCTGCGGAGCGGCGATTGTTCAGGGCGCCGTGTGTTCGTTAGCTGAGCCGGCTGACTTCCGCCGGCGGCGACGGCGACTCGTGGTTCACGTAACGTTTCGACTGTCGGGGTCGGAGTCCTAGGTTCTATTACAGAATAAAGTACAAATACTACGATTTGACGAAACTATAAATTAGAGTTATAAAAGAAAGAACGTTCTGTTAAGTTTAATAATGTGGTTCTCTGAAGTATTTTATCTCTTATCAATCTGCTCTTGCGAAGGTCGCGCTGATAATTCGGCTGCGTTGATAGTTGATAACCGTGACGTGACACATTGAAAGCTTTCTACACTCAGCTGCATAAAGACATATTTATTCCGGCGAATTATTCCGTAGGAACATCGTTATCGGCGTTGTCTATCTCACATAATAATGAAGTCTTTGACATAAAATGCAATTTATTACAATGCGAATCGAGCAACGGTTCAGTGTTTCAAGTAGCGATAAAACATTAGTTTATTGTAATCTTCATTTCACGATATTACATAATTTAAAATATTTCATATTCACAATAGACTCTAGCTTGATCCATAATTTACAAAACCCTTTTTACATTTCACAGATATAGTGAAATTAATTTAAAACAATTTTGACGATAAGACAGCACAGTAGTTAAATGATCAGCTTTTAAATCTAGAGAAACGAGTTTGATTTCCCAGAAAGAACTTTTAGGCTATAATATTCAAAATATTGTAATTTCTAAATAAACAATACTCTTTCCTTTTCCATTTATTTTAATCATACTATTCCGTCACCACTATGTTATCCTATTTATTTGATTATTCCTACTGACCGCATCCAAATTATTTTTTAAATTTTTACTTTTACTCGTACATTATTATTCTTAGACTAACACTGTCTTAATAATTATTCAATACTAGCTGTCGCCCGCGACTCCGTCCGCGCGGAATTTAAAAAAACTTAATTAGTAGTCTATGTGTTCTTCCAGACTATGTTCTATAAGCATGCCAAATTTCATCGAGATCAGTTCAGCCGTTCTAGAGATACATTTAAACAAACATCCATCTATCTAAACATTCGCATTCATAATATTAGTAAGAAGTAAGTTTAACCAATCTACAGACAATATGTCTTATTGCTTGATTATTAGGATAATTGACTGTAAATAATATGTCGCTGTTTCATTTTAAAAATGTTATTCTAATGAACCGAACAAAGGTCAAATGTTTGTTTAATTTTCATTAACATAACGATAATGGGAATATTATCTTGCCGTAATGATAAAAATGTCAACCGACATCTCTAACAAACGTTACGCGCATTCTAATCTGTTGAATCATGTTTCCTATTATTTTGGACCACATTTAATTTTAACACAATAGACATATTTTAGTAGGATATAATACTATTGTAATTAAATGTGGCCATCATCTTTAATACAATTAGTCTTACGCCATAAAAACGGCGGTCCAACACTACTGTAAGTCTAATAAGAATTAAGAAATATCAATCAATTGCTTCTCCTTACTATAGAACGTCGATGGCTCAAGAGTCAAGCCCTTCACTTGCAATCTGTTTTTCGATGTGTCTTTCGATTTTCGATTTGCATATGTACATTTATCCGACGATCTTACGGCGAAGGGAAACATCGTGATCCAACCTGCACATATCTGAAAAGAAATTCAAAGATATTTGTGAAGTCAACCAATCCGCAGTTGGGTGGCGTCGTTTTGCCTAGTCACCCATAACTTGGGATAGGCTACGAGCCTTCAGTGGGGATGTATAGAGAGCTGATAATGATTGTATGACATAAATATAATAAATTTGGTCTTCCCGAATTGACTACGAATGGTTACAACATATAGATATAAGTGTCATTAAGTTCTATGTGGTAATTTGCTTAGTAAAAAGTTTAAAACAAACTCTTGCGATAATCTAAGTTATTTAAACTTCCAGCAAAAAAGTAAAAAAAAATCCAAAGTGATAGATAATAAAGTCAGTGTGCAGTAAACGATTAAAAAAAAACTATGAGTAATGGTTCAGAGCATTGTTGGGATGTTTTTCAATATATTGGAATGTTGGGCATTAAGGGCAAATAGAGTGGCATATCTACAAAAGAGTATTGACACTGAGATAAGCGTATCTGAGTGCACACTAATGTGGTAGGTATCTGCGCTTACACTCATTGTTCCGTTATCATGTACGGTTAGCGTATTATGTGTCCGATAAGCAAACAACTCGGCTATGTCTGCACCAACCGGTCATCTCGTCTAAAATAATACACGCATGAACGGACAATACACAACTGTGTGCTGTTTAAAATTTTATTAAATTATTTTATTTGAAATTTCAATTGTTTTTAAGTATGATTTTTATAAAGTATACCACTAAATTAATTATTTAATTTCTTATTGGTTATACTCTTTTCATCTTATATATAAAATTCTCGTGTCATATGTCAGTTACCATGATCCTCCGAAACAACTTGACCAATATTTATGAAATTTGTATGCATGTTCAGTAGGTCTGAGAATCGGCTATTTTTTATAATCCCACGCGGACGGAGTCGCGGGCTAGAGCTAGTATTTATATATTTAAATAAAACAGTTTAGATTTTTTAAACTATAAACCGAAAAAACATAGTCGTTAGTAGAGTTTAGTCAAATTTTTATTCATAAAATTCGTCGAGATATCAAACCTTTAACCTAGCCTAAAGGGGCATTAAACGATTCTGATTGCAGTAAAAATTAAAAATAAAATATGTTATGAAATATACCACAAACCTGTCTAAAGGTGTGTCTGTGGCTGATATATAATTGTTAATTAGTGCCCGCGGCGGATGTAGACAATTTAAAATTTTTGCTGCATCCGAATATCTCAGTGTTGCAAATAAAATTTTCCGTTCGCAAACTTTACCAACGAATTTTATATCTATTTTTTTAAATATTTTATTCATATGATAGCTCTGTTTAAAAAGCGAAAACCACTATTTTTACTGTCTGGTAAAAGTTGTTTTAGCAATTATGTTTTGTACAATGAAAAAATATTTTAAATAACAAATATAAGCAAAAGTAGTTTAAATAAATGTAGGTAACACGGTTTGATAATTATGTTATCAATCAGCTGATACATTACTAATTAACAAATGATATGTCATTAGAAATAATGGATTTTATAATAATATTCTAACAAAGAGTGAAATAATAACCTAAAAATAAAATAATGTTAACGTGACAAGGTCGTACAATCTTATCTATTTGTTTGTTTGCAATATAAAAACATATTGAGCGTCGGCGGCTCACGGGTTAAGCACTTGACTTGCAATCTGCAGGTCCTGGGTTCGAATACCGCCATGTACCAATGTGTTTTTCGATTTCCGATTTACATATGTACATTTACGACGTTCTTACGGTGAAGGAAAACATCGCGATGCAACCTGCACATATCTGAGAAGAAATTCAAAGATATGTGTGAAGTCAACCAACCCGCACTTGGCTAGCTTGGTTGACTATGGCCTAATCACCTTTAACTTAGGGTGGACTCCGAGCCCCTCGGTAGGGACGTATAGTGAGCTGATGATATTAAATACAGATACCAAAAGAGCGATCAAAATAAATCTTAGTATTTTATCCAAATCTCAACATATTTCTCCTCCCTTCCTCCTAAACGTTTATACATTTGTTTAGTCACCATTGTTGGTTAGTGGGCCTTAATCAAAAACAAAATATAATTAGATTACGTTCTAATTTAAAGGCTAAAAATAAATGAACATTGTACTAAGTATATGTTGCACAAAGTGTAAGATCATAGTTTCAAATCTTATTATTAACATATTATGTTAGTTGGATTCGATAGTGCAGAAGGTTAAGTCCAACGCCCACTTGTGTTCGTAATTCTCCAGGGCTTAAATTCCAAGTAGCTTATAATTTACATTGTTAACGATGGCTTAGTAACAACCCTGTTACCTACTACTTGTATCTTACGTCTTTCTCTGTTTAAAAAAACAACTTACATTAATTTAAAAGTAAAATCCTGCATTATTTTTGATTTATGGCTAATTAGCTTTCGTTTGAAACACATCATTGATAAGTTCTTGTAACGCTAACTTTTAATATGTTAGGGTACAAATCAAAGTATAATTAATTTATTGTAATTAATTCAATTTGCATTTACCGAAAGTCGCAGCCCTAGTGGTGGCGGTACGCTTGGCGCGTCGTATCGCAGTTTCGCGTCGTTCGTTCACTCTGCGGCTATATTTAGTGTGGTGCTCGGAATGCAGTCCGGCCGGCGCTGACCTGCCTCAACACCACCACTGTCACAGTTTCGGCGCACGCGCAGCCTCCGCTTATGTTAGTTTCACACGAAGACTGTGGTAGTAGCTAATGGAGTACTGCTATTGTCTGATAACTGCTTCCACTGAAGACGTAGAAAAAAAAAGTATCTTTGTCATCCAAGGAAAGTCGCGGCCGGTCGTTAGTCAAAACTAACCAGGAAAGCATGGTTCAACGCTTCTTATATTGAAACAAAATAAATTGATTTTTAGACATATTTCTAATGTATTTCGATGTATTTGGTTAAAAGTTTATCGGAAGTTATACGGTTTGCGTTGTGTGACCGCAACTTAGTTTAATATTAAGCAAGCGGTTGGAATTTTCTCAGTAATACGAAGTTGGTA